GCTATATAATCTTAAATATAACTGAATTTTAAAAACATCTTTTATAGCATCAAAGTAAAACAAAACAACTAAAGTATACGTCATTCAAATTAATCAAAATGTCTAACCTGACAAAAAAAAGTATTCACCCAAAAATCCAAATCACAAACACATTCTGATTTTTTGTTGTGTTTTATTGTGTTGTAAAGTATGAAATTTGTGCATTCTGGTCATCAGTACTGGTTTTGTATTAGAGCAGAATTTAAAGTAGTATTGGATAAAAGTGGTTGGGTGCAAGATGAACACAATTCATGAAACCATGAAATGTTGCTATTACAGGCAGTAAATGAATATCTGTGGTGAGTTTAACAGTTTTCAGGGATTTAAGCACATTTCTGCACATAGAATGATCCAAAATGAAAAGTCAAGCAAGTAAAGCGAAAAACTTGAGTAAGATGGACATTCTCATCATGGTCTCCTAGTTCTCCTTTTTTCTTTCCCTCTCCTCCTTACTGCTCTTTCCTGAGCTCTTCTCCTGGGTCCTCACCCTCCAACTCCACGGACCTGGAGGTTAATGAAGAACGTCAGTTGATGCCGGATCATTGAAATAACTGCATTTGTGAAGCTGCCTCTCTTTGCTTGTATGTTTGCTTTGTTTTACTCTGTTTAACTTACCCCTATTCAATTCTGTGCAGAAGCCTAAAAGAAATCTGACAGAGAATTGGGAATCTAGACCAGGGGTAGGCAACTCCAGGCCTCGAGTGCCGGTGTCCTGCAGGTTTTAGATCTCACCCTGGGTTAACACACCTGAATCAAATGATTAGTTCATTACCAGGCTTCTGGAGAACTTCAGAAATGCTGAGGAGTCATTTAGCCCTTTAAATCAGCTGTGATGGATCATGGACACATCTAAAACCTGCAGGACACCAGCACTCGAGGCCTGGAGTTGCCTACCCCTGATCTAGACAAATGATGCATGACTGAATGTCAGAGCAGAGCAGTAAGTTCTCAGGACCTCCCTGGTCTGTTGCAGGTCTAACTTAGACAGGCAGCCATTCACCTTTACATTCACACAATTTAGAAATCACCATTTAACTTAATATGCATGTCTTTGGACTGTGGAAGGAAGGCAGAGGACCCAAAGAACCTAACCAGTAGGTGGATTCAGACTCTTCTTGCTGTGAGGTGACAGTGCTAATGAAATGGCCACTGCTTTTAATCACAGAAATGAAGACAAGAGGATAAGTTTTATATTCATATATATTTTATTAAAAACTGTTTCCTGACAGTTTAGAAATGCTGTTTATAAGAGACTCTAACGCGTATAGAGTGGATGTTTACAAATGTTATTGTATAAGCTCTGATGACACTCTCCCCCTTTTTATTACTTTACTAAAAAAAAAAAAGTTTCTGTTTCTGGGTTTGTTCAAATGTGACATCAACACACAGAGACTGCGTGCAACAAACAAACAGACTGCAACAAAATGCAGTTTTTTTAAACATGTTGAAAGGCTGAGAACCCAAGTGGGACAGTGCGCCATGCATGTCCTACGCTGCAAAGAATTTCAATCTGTGCTGCTGCAGTCTATCTCAAACAGGAGGATATAGAAGGCACAAAGTCTGCTAAATGCAAGAATGAATATTTCCTTAGAAATATATAGTTCATGTGTATTGCCTACAGTGTTTTCTCATTAAAAAAAAGCCCCATGTATTAAAAATAAAATTATTTTGAAGGGTATGAAGGTCTCTGATAACAAACCCTGACTCCCAAAATTAAATGCAGCCTGCGCTTTTTAAACAATAAATCTTCCTATTTTATAAATATTAGCTCTCGGCTTTAAAAAACAACAATAACAACAACAGCAAAAAAAA